AGTCTGGACAGTTCACTTGAGTCTGGACAGTTCACTTGAGTCTGGACTTCTCCCGCTACGTCTTGGATTGCCCGATTGCCCGATGATCAACGGATGGTTCAAGTTCGGAGAGGCTTCGTCAGGTTCTTTTTTTCTGCATGTCTATATACATTCTGGCCAGCTAACAGGGAAAAAAACTGTGGGCACATTGCACATGATGTCTCTTTCAAAAAGAGGCATCATGTAAAAGATGTGAAGAACATGACATGACAAAGAAAGACAACTCTACTCTACTTCCTAAATCACTTCCTCAAACGCTCGATACACCCTGAGAGTATCAAGACGACCGACCGTCTGGGGCTCTCAGGGTCCACACCTTAAGGGGGTTCCCCTTCTGCATTGATATGTTTATAGATACAGTATATAGTAATATATTCTGTAATATAATACATACTCACAGTATAATACTTCCGGAAGGGACAATTGGGTAATTCAATTTCCCATAACCATTTCTAACTGCCACCCAACAAAAACGACTGAGACGATTTTCCTATTGTGTCTAAGCGACCCCAACAAAATCATCCTTATGGCCTCACTATCTGGGAATATTGAACCACCAAAGGGGAACAGTGTTCCCTGACCACTCAAGAAGACCGATGATCATCGAAACGACCTGCAGTCTCATCTCGCTTTTTGCCCCAAAACCTGGAGCCCGGCTCTTTGAAGAGGCGGTGAAACAGTGAACCAGTGAAACAAAAGTCGTGGTAGCCACGACTGGTTGGGCTTTCACTCAGCTGTCCTGATCTGCCCTTGCCTCACTTCTGTCTTGCTATCAAGCTTGCTGTCACTGGGACTTGTCGCGCTCTCGGCTCCATCTTCAGCTTGCAGCTGTAGGATGTCCCAGTCTGTTGGTTCATACATGCTGTAGAAGCAGCTGGGGATCCAAGGCATGAGTCTACTAAGGTCTGCCCCAAGGCATTCAGCCACTGCTTCAGGTCCCTTGAGCAAGAAAGTGTCCAAACTAAGGACAATGTCATTGAACAGGGTCACACCAAAGGAAGCCTCAAGGTTTGTTCCCTCCGTCATGAGATAAATCACGCCGCCATGGAGAAAGTTCAATGCGAAAGCACATTTGATGTACTCGCTTCGTGAGGGAGGACTGCAAAGCAAAGGACAAAACAGCCGCGGCCGCCCAAGAGACTCTAGGATGCTATCAACGCAGCCGAAGCAGATGTAGCCGAAGCCTAAGATTAAATTGACATAGTACGTAAGCTCTGGAGAGATCCTGCCGAGTAAGATCAAACAAGCCCCCATCACCAAACAAATAGTCCCGGGATAGGCTGGAAGCACTGCCCAGGCAGACATCACAACAAGAAGAACTGTCAGGAGACAATATGCAAGTAAGGCCCAATCTGTGATTGTTGCGATCACAGGGATATCCTTGATGGCAGCTCCCTCTTCATCTTCCAAATGGCATGTGCGGATGTGAATCTTACCACCTTCAGTGGACTGTGTCCTGCAACTTGCTGATGCTAGGCAGTTGCAAGCAGGGCAATGGTCGCGTAGACTGATCCGTTTGACTGTTTTGGGTGCATGTCTTTCTTGTTGTGACATCCGGTGTGCGAAGGCGATCGGATCTTTTAAGTCCATGTAATCAATGTCTTTCACAGAAAAAGTTGTTTCGACCCCGGAGGCAGCCTTAGCCATGTGTTCGATTCGACAAGCTAACTCCCCCCCTGAACATCAGCACACCCAGGAAACACAAAGCATCCATCAGCGCATGCAGCCACCATTTCCATCCGTACACTAGGCTGGCCATAGCTGTAGCTGAGTGCTGCAGCCGAAGTTTCGGACATGTCATGGGAAACATTCAGCCCATCCGCCTTTCATGTTGAGAGATGATTGAATACGAAACGCCAAGGGAGATGATGTTTAGGTTGTTGATGACCCTTTGACTTGATCCGTTGCGCAACAGCAGTCAACTTGATCCGTTGAAGTTTGGTGCGATGAGACGGTGGTCTAGCTCTGGATAGTGCAACTAGTGTATTACAATACAAACAAAAATGAAGTAAGGCTTCAGAGATTGCTCATAGTCCTATTCCAGAAATATTGCAATTGATATTCGTACCTTTCAAACTCAATGAGATGCCGTCCCGATGCATTTTTTTTCAACTGCCCCAACACTTCCAGTCCCTGAAAATAGTTTCAATCAATCTCATTTATAATAATGTTATTCTACATGTACAAGTAATATAGTTGTCAATCAATCAATTCAAATTTATCAATCCCTTGCAAACCTGTAGTATTCCAGTCTTTCCTCTTTTGGTTCCTTTATTTTGTGTTCATTCAGCATTGCAAGATATTGCGCCTGTTACTGTTTAATTTCAATGGCCCAGTGGGTCTCTGCCTATGTGTTTCTGTTCAACATGTTGTCCATCTTTTCCCTGTCAGCATCGTCATCCCATTTCAGCGTGCGTTCTTTGAGTTTTGCCAATTTTGGTTTATCGCATCCAGTTTATCAGCCAACGATTTCAGTGTCTAGTTCAATTTGTTCAGTTTGTTCGGCAACTCTTGGCATATCATCCTCATTTAACATTTCAATATACATTTATGTTATTTATACACAATATCCTGCGTATATAACTCGAAGCTTCCCACGGTCTCTGGGCACAGCGCGCAGTGCCGCAGGGCCAGTCCAAGGTCTTTACTAAGCAGGTCTGGCCAAATCGTTTGCCTTGCGAATTGGCCTTGAAGAAGTGAAACCTGCTAGTAGGTTGCCACCCCGCCCACTGCAAGGCTTGTGGATGCCCAAAACGACGAGAAATCAAATCGAGTGTCTGGCAGCTGTCAAAGCCTGGCATGTCAGGTTCTGCCAAACAATGTCTCAATACAGTATAAGTCTTGTTCATTCTCTTTCTGGGGAACCCAGCTACTAATCCAAACGGGTCGATGTCCAATAAACATGCTAACTGTCTTCCCTTCAGGTATGGCGTGCTATCAAGACCAATAAAGCTCCACCTGCCCGGATTTCCCCACCGTCCACCGGTTGCGCGGACCTCCAGCGCGTGGGCGACAGCTCCACGAGTTTGTCGTCCAGCTCCTTCAGCGGACGACGCGGCAGCGGCGCTCGCGGTGCGCACCGCTGCCGCCGAGCGTCGAAACCCATGCTCCGAGATCGCTTGAAACGAGGGAGAAAAGGACTCGACTCAAAAAGACACGGAAGAAAAAAAGGGGGCCAAGGCGGCCAAGTCCAAAGCAATCAAAACGAATCAAAACAGCCAGATCTGTGGAGAGGAACTGCAGTTCCGCAGGACATCTCTCAAGAGATGTTCTGCAGAACTGCCTCTTTGTAGGTAACGAGGAAGCAAATGAAATGAAAACTCCTTGTTTGAGGCAAAAAGTGTATTGCAGCTCAATTTGCTGAGATCATCAATTATTCATACTGATTCCTTGTTTGCCCTTTTAGCCCGCGCATAGCCAGATGCTTTCAACTGTTCCACCCAGACACCTTCACACAACAAAATCGGACTTTTCGGAAAGGAATAGAATCGGAAAAGGAAAGTAGGAAAAAAAGGTGCTTGATGCTGCACAAGGGATCAGTTGCAGCATGAAGAAAGCGCTTTCTCGTTGGCGCCGATTTCGCTGGCCCGTCCGGACGAATTCTTCTCAATCACCGGTCCGGGGCCTTTTCAAGTGTTCTGCCTGTTTGGAATTATGATGAATTATATAAGTTGTCTCAGCGCTTGGTATTTTAACGTATTTGGTCTCCAATTGCATCTATGTTTTTTCTTTGTTCTACCAACTCGCTAGATGTCTCGCCAGAATCAAAAATAGATTGTGTTGTGTGGTTGGGGAATCTAAACTCAAAACTGGACCTCGCCTGTGTTCCTTCCCAGTTCGCCAGTTGAAGCCAGACATCATCTTCTACGCAATGGACTTTACGACGATGCCTCGAACACTCCGTGCTTTCTCTGGCCAACTGCATGGCACCACATCACTGGCTATGGGTCATTGCACCAGGATACCAAACGGATACCAAACGGTTGACCTACCTCTTCCAGGACGTCCGCTACATGGTGGACCAGGGCTCTCCCCAAGGCTCTCAGTGGCTGTATCCATCCTTTCATTTACTTTTTGTGTTTGGTCTTGTATCCTGCATCTAATCTGTACACGCATGGCGTCTCGGCCAATGTCCGCCATTCGAGCAACACAGCAACCAAAGCCTCATCCAACATCCAACCTAAACTCCTCTTGGACTCCATAAGGCACCTCAAAATCATAGACTTCCACTCCAATGAAACGTGCGTCTGTACATCCTGGAACCGACTCCCCAATCCAGCCCCCCCAAGACCTTCCACAGCGGACAAAAGCAAGGACTACCTCAAAGCGCAAAATGTTACGACTATTATTACCGCACAGAACAACAAACACAAACAACACTAAACCGATACAAATTAATAAAAAATATAGAGACCGTTACATGTACCGTCAGCACAAGTATGGTCATGGTTTACGCATCTGCGGCTCCTGCAACTTCTGCTGGTACTCTGGAGCCCCCTGCTCTGCACCCTGCACGTTGCACCGTGTCTTGACGCAATGGACACGTTACAGAAAAAAGATGTTGGAATATGTTGTTTTCTGAGAGTTGGTGGTCCAAAAACGCCCAGGATGCTTCTAGACTTCTTAGTGTCGTTGAACATATGTGCTTCTTGTCTAATCAGAACCTGTCTGACTGTCTGATGATTGAAATCGTTGACTCTACCTACACTAGAGCCTTCCATCCAGTTGATTCCTTCCTTCGCTTTTCTTGTCCTCTTCTCTCTCCATGAGGGGCTACCCTGGACCGGTTACGCCCATTTCCTTCACCTCTCTTCCTTCACCTCGCCTCCAAAGCCCGCCGCACGGCTGACTGCATGTGGGTCCGGAGCACCTGCGTCCGCGACACGGCCGACTCACCACTCGTCCGGTCGAAAGGAAAACGAGGTCCCCCGAGGTCACCGGTCGGTGACCACTCGTCCGGTGAAGTGATGTTTGCGACGAAACGACACAAAAGAGCCTTTCCAAACGCCTGAATGAACCTAGCATCTGATCAAAAGAACATGGTACGTCTTGTCTCAAGAAAAGGAAACATGTTTGAACGACCACAGAAACACGAAAACATGGTAAAACCATCCCAAAAGCATGGGGAGGAGAATAGAGTAAAAACACCCCTTCTTTGGGGCGACCCGTCCTTTGAGAGGGTGTCTCTCTTCTTTCTCTTCCTCCCACCTTCGCTCCGTCTCGCCCCATGGGTCTCGCCTGCAGTTCGGAGTGCGAGAGCTTCGAAGTTGGAGTTGACTGCCTTAGGGTGTCCAATCTGCTCGAGATCTCCGAAAGGTCGATGAGGAGTCTCCCTTTGAGGTAAGTCATCATGGAATTTCCGTTTCCGTTTCAGGGAGTGAGTCACCGGGTCTGGTCCAAAAACCGGATCGCGCGAGAACTCATCCCGCCATGCCATCCATGGTCGCCCCTGATTTCGGTCTGGGACAGTCGTTGGGTGTGGCGCATCCTCAAACCCACAGCAGTTGGCAAGCGATCGTCGACAGCGAGGCAAAAGGAGCATCCTCAAACCAGGTCGAGTCCCATAGAAAACGTGTTCGAGGATGTCCGGCAGGCTAGGTACAGGAACCTGACAGAGTCAGTCATCCCTTGCCACTATTTCAGGGTAGCAATACCTCAAAAAGTGGCCTGTAAGCAGTGCCGATGGATGACCTATCCGGATGACCCTCCGGTAGAGGGTTTGGAACCATGATTTCGTGATGTGCGACATGTTCCTCAAGCAAGTCCATCTCCGCTTTTTCAACCTCCTGCGATTCAAACCCCATCTACTTCAATGTGCCACGTTACCGTCCTAGTTCGAAACCCGTGGCCACTCTATAGAGAGAGGGAGAGAGAGAGAGAGAGAGAGAACGAGAGAGAGAGAGAGAGACAGAGAAGAGAGAGAGAGAGAGGGATCTTTTATCAAGATATACAGAAGGCTGTGAACGTGTGCGTTTTCCACTGTGTCCTGCAGATGCATTTTTTAAGTACACTTTTGCATTGACTATGCCAAATCAAAGCGCGCTTCCTGCAAATAACTACCAATCGTGCAAAGAAAAGGTTTGGGGTAGACCAAAAATATCAAACATACCAGTATATAGAGAAATAGTTGCCACCCCCCAAATACCAAAAATACCAATCCTGTAGAGGAACAGTTGGCCCCTTATGCTCGAGTATTTCCACCAAAACCTATGATTACAGCTCAATGCATGTTTAACAAAAATATCAAGGACAATACAGATACTAATATGCCAAGAAAAAAGAAAACTACAGTAAATCATATATAAAGTATTCTCAACAGCATTGAGGAAAGCAAGAAAGAAAGCGACAGTGACACAAGCAACAAATTGAAGAGCCCATATCTATTTACTTCAAGAAGGCGATTGAAGGATTTCAGACGAATGCAATTGGTTTGATATTACTTTTACGGAAAAATAGAGAAGATGGTCAAACTCAGAGTTCATTGCTTTGAATCGTAGTGCGTGACGATAGAAGACAGCACTGTAAGTATGTCATCTTGCAAACCTCCGCTGTCTAAAAATAGTTTTGAGTCTTTACTGAAAAATAATGTATCTAAAAGAAGCACACTCAGAGTCGCGCTGCCCTCTCTTGTTGCAACGTCCCAGCCCCTTGGCCCGGCCCCCCTTCGCGCTCCGCTGTTGAGCGGCGCTTCCGAATGGTCCCGCGGGGTGGGGGCGTTGCGCTTGGCCTGGCGGGCTGGTTTTGCGTCGCTGCCGCGGAGCCGAGAACGAAACGAAGATGGAGCCAATTGAGCCTACTAAGGCCACCGTTCATGGTAGCGGAGCTGTAAAACATAAGACCACCCAGCTAGCGTTTTGCGGGTCGAAGGGCGCCTTCGCTGCCCTTAAGGATCATCTTGATACCCCCCCCCACCGTCCGTTTGAGGTGTTTGGTCATCAGACCTTCAGAGCTTGCCCACTCCTCAACAACCTGACCTACATGTGTTCCAACACCATCGACTCCCACGTCCAACGTCCGCATCCGGCCTCCAGTAGCTCCCTTTGCCTCGACTCCAGGAGCTCTTTGTGGCAGCTGATCTGAGACGTCACCGCTGCGTTCGACCGACGTCGGGCAGACGGAGACGGAGACGCCAGGGCCAAAGGACGTCGATGTCGGTGCACCGTGGACGGTGCCATTCTGCGCTTCACTGTTCGATGCTCAGTAAGGGTCTTGATCAGCAAATCATGGTCAGTTTTTGCCGCAAATCATGGTACGAATGGGTTAGAGAAAATCATAGGTGTCCAACTTTTCACATAGTGAACCCATAATACTAGAGACAACTGTCAGCTGCAAAACGGAGTCATCAATATCAGGAGCACATCAGGCTAATTCTTTGGCCCCGGCTAATTCTTTGGCCCGTTTCATTCTGGCCAGTTCCATCCCGAAAGTGTCATAGACCGGTAGACAAGGTCGTGCACCATCTATTACTGCTAGAGAGCTTGGTTGGAGATGACCGCTCAGTGGTTCAAGCTACCCTCCCTGAAACAATCATGGAAGTGGAAAACCCCCAGTTAGTAGGGGAAAACAGTCTTCCAAGGGCCATGTTCCACTTCCATGTGATTTGTTGGAGGGAGGGTATCTGTTTTGGGGGGGGTCCGACTCAAAAACCTCGGACGCCCTGACGTAGTCAACGTCTTTCCTGGGCCCCTTCCGCACGTACGGAATGCCATGGTGTCAGCGCCGCACGTATGGATGTGTTTCATTCCGCACCTGACAAGAATTCTACCAAAAAAGAATCCTACAAAGCCAAATCCGGCTTCCAGTTCCATGCTATAAGAATTCCATAAAATTCAGAATCCTACAAAGCATGTCTGGTGTCCTTTTCTGCCTGTCGTTTCACCCCGACTTCGCAGCCGGCAACTCGTTTTGGCCCGCCTCTGCCTGAGCTGCCAGAAGTGCCTGGCGAAGGTGTTCCTGGGCGAGTAACATGCGGAGGCCACCCACTGGTTGGTTCATCGTTGAGATGCGGAAGGTTGGTGCTGAGATGTTTATGGGGCTTGGGATGCCTATGGGCCTTGGGATGCGTACTGGGCCTTGGGATGCCTACTGGGCCTTGGGATACTTGAGCCATCCAGAGTCCCAAAGGTGAAAAATATAAACCGCTGTGTCCACCTAAGTCACTTGCCACTTCTGGGGTCTCGGGCGAAGGCCGAGACCACCAAATCCCCGTCCGTTGCCCGTTCACCAGCGGCTTCAAGAACCAAAAATTCGACCCAAAAAAAACGAGTTCCTTGAAGTGCCTTGCACCAGGCCCCCTCAAGGGTGTCTAGCCCCTGAGAGGTTAAGGGGATGTCCATTAACAACTCCTTAGGGGGCCCTGGTAGTCCCCACTTTCACCGCCACAAACATCCCCCAGCCCGACTACTTCCGCCAGGGATTTTCTAGAAAAATCCTCGATCAAGAGGTGGAAAAAGGCCTTACAGGAGCATACGTCCTCCAACAGCATTTTGGACGTCTGATGCTCCGGAGCATGCCTCCTTTTGACCTTTGTTCGTTGCTGTCCAACGATCGAAAAGCCACCCACCTGCTCCTCGCTGGACGCAGAGAGCTGCAGCGCCTCGCGTCTCGGTCTATTCCCGCTGCTTCCCTTCACCCGATTCGGGAGCCATTCGTTCCAACGAAGCCAAAACCTCCCCACGACAGAGTGGAGTGGCGCGACGACAAGATCAAGCACCAAGCTAGGGAGGGGCGACTGGAGGCAGGTCATTCCCACAAGTGGCCCAGTGTGGGACCTGAAACGGACCCTAAAACCATTTGTACTAGTAAAGAAGTTCAGTGAAATTCGGTGACTAGCAGGATTCTGGCTAGTTCGCTGCTCTACTCTCTGTCTCTAAAGGGATGACTCTGTCAGGACTTCACTGAAGACCTCTGAGTCTTGGGGGTTCCCCCGGTCTGCCCGCTACGAACGGTGGACACAACATCGAATGGTGTCTCCCAAAATGAATGAACTTTCCCAGACGCTCATGGACCCTCCTAAGTAGGGGTCCGGACCCTCAAATCCCTACGGTTTTGAGGGACCAAGAGCTGTTTGAGCATCTGGGTTGCAAAAATCCACCCGTTTCCAAAGGCACGGGGAAAAAAACCGCTTCCCACCAAACCTCTGGAAGAGTACCACATGGACCCTGATGATTTCTGTGGGTCATGGCACCAGGATATCTTGGTTGACCTACATGATGAACTAACTAGGGCTCCGGGTTGAACAACCCATTCCCATATCTGGTCCATGTCCATTTAACCCCACTGGTGGCTCGACCTGATTGGCCAGGCTCATGCGCGCAGAGTTGCGTTCCTGCACAGCTCGAGGACGTGGCTAGTTAGCCCAAAGGGCTGCCCTTTGGGTCCCACCAAATGGTCCAAGTTCCTTGGGACATCTAACTGGAGTACCAATCCTTGGATCTACCAGTACTTGGGTTATCCCCTGAACCAAGAGCACAGAAGACCACACCATGTCACGGGTCCATTCAGAATTTTTTGGCGGTGTTGGCGTACCTTATTAGTTTTAATGGGTCATTTTATGGTTTTCTTATTCACTTTTTACCCATTAAAATTAATGGTTTGTTCACCCAGAAATTTCCTCCAGGTAATAACATATAGGTGTGGAAATGTCTGGCCCTTAGGTTCCTTCTTGTCTTTCAGTAATTCTTATTTAAAATAATGGTGGATAATAAGATAGAATAAATATAAATGACTAGACGAAAATGGTGAATCGAATGAATCGACCCACGATCTCCCAGGCCTGTGGCTTACAGGAATTGGGTTTCCTAGTTCTTTCTGGACCGTTGCTGGGCGAATCATGCATTGCTGTCTGCAGGTCTGTTTACAACAACCATGGACAAAATGATGGTTCGAAGGCACCATGGCTGACCAGAATGAGTAGCTGGTGCTGTTGATGCTCTATCGGTTTTTCCGGTTTGTTGCTGGGAACACGATGGACCCCTTGTCCAACTACGAACACGATGGGTTCGTTCAGCCATTGTAGTCCCACAACCTGGACACCAACCAACCCCATCAGCATAGAATCCTCCCGAAAACTAACATGGTTACGTGGAGTTCACCACCTGTTTGGTTCGTGGATTTCATGGTCTTCCGAACTCGGGGCCATTCTCCATCCACGTAACCATGTGAGTTCCGAGGAGTGAAATCCTCCAAAATACGCCACTCGCACATGCAAAGTGCAGGTAGGAGTAGACATCCCAAGGGAATACTCCGATGAAGAAGGTGCCCAAAGCGACACCGGCACCACAGAGCACACACAAAGCGACACCAGAGCAACGAAGCGCAAACGGAGCAGCTTTAAGATGTGAGATCGAGCCAGGGTGGCCCAAAGCAGCCATGAACTGATGAGGAGGCCTTCGACCATGGTCCCCATGAGAAACACCTTCAGAACATGGGCGTTGAGGCCCATGTCTGAGATAAAGGGCATGTAGGGAGGCTCGAGCAGGCTATCACCACCTGTCTAACTGAAAAAACGAGCGATTGTTCATGTATCGATAGCACCGCGAAACTCTCAAAACCCAGTTCAAGTTCCATGTCCACACCGGCGTGTCTGCCTGAAAAACCGCGCCTATCCGAGATGTTTTGATCCTCTCTTCGGCGAACACTTCACCTTCACTCCCCCCAGTCCCACGTCCGTCCGTTTCGGATGGCACCTCCTCCAAGCGTCGTAGCTCCCCTCTCAGCTGCATCAGTTCTTCCTGCCGGACGAGCTCGATCGGTCGATCTGGTGACGCCTTAGCACCTCGACCGCATTGTCCCTCCGACCGAACGCATCGACGCCACGGGTCTCATTCTCACGGGAGAGAGACGCCGAGAAGCAGACGAATGCACCGGAAGTGAATCCAAATATGCCGGAGTCAGGTCATGTGTGTTTTTCTACAGGCATGGGAACTTCGTTGAACGCACGGAGATAGCTGGAGACGCACCGTTAGCTCATGAAACAAAGGCTGAATCCAATAGGCCCAGCTGCCTCGTCCGATTGGCATGTGTTGACAATCCGTTCTTCCATCGCCTTAAAAGGACAACTTCTGCCACAGCTAGATACAAACCAGTGCGCTTGGAAGAAATCCAGAAATCACCTGACTACCAACTCCACATCTTGAGGGAGATCGACCCATCTGAGAATGTGGGATCGTGGAATGCTTTCACTCAACACTGCGCTGTCCCTGCCTGTTGTGCTCGAGATATGGCTTCATGCTGGCTAGGCTGGTCCTCCGCACCAGAGATTCCACTGAAGGTTCACGTCAACGTGCCAAGAATGAACACGTTGGTCTCTCACCCATCAAGACCAGGTGTTTTGTCTCTCCCTCTCTCTCTCTCTCTCGCTTTCTCTCTTTCTCTCTGTTCCCTCTGATCTCTCTTTCTCTTTCTCTCTTTCTTTCTTTCCTTCTGTCTTTCTTTCGTTCTTTCTTTCTTTCTGTCTTTCTGTCTTTCTTTCTGTTTTTCTTTCTTTCTGTCTGTCTGTCTGTCTGTCTTCCTTTCTTTCTGTCTGTCTGGTTTTCTTTCTTTCTGTCTTTCGTTCTTTCTGTCTTTCTTTCTGTCTCTCTCTCTCTCTATCTTTCTTTCTTTCTTTCTTTCTCTCTTTCTCTCTTTCTCTCTGTCTCTCTCTCTCTCTCTCGCTCTTTCTCTTTCTCTTTCTCTCTCCTTTCTCTTTTTCTCTCTCTCTCTCTCTCTCTTTCTCTCTTTCTCTCTCTTTCTCTCTCTCTCTCTCTCGCTCTTTCTCTTTCTCTCTCCTTTCTCTCTTTTTTTTTCTCTCTCTCTCTCTCTCTCTCTCTCTCTGTCTCTCTTTCTCTCTCTCTCTCTTTCTTTCTCTTGTCTTTCTCTTTCTTTCTCTCTCTCTCTCTCTCTCTCTTTTTCTTTCTTTCTCTCTTCCTCTCTTTCTCTCGTTCTCTCTTTCTCTCTTTCTCTGTCTTCTCTCTCTCTCTCTCTCTTTCTCTCTCTCTCTCTCTCTCTCTCTTTCTCTCTCTCTCTCTCTCTCTCTTTCTCTTTTTTCCTCCTAACAGACGTCAAAACATACATTGCGGCCTTCAGAGGTGTCTCCAAAGAACCAGAGAGTCCACACGTGTCTTTTTTCAGGACCCTACAGGTCAAAGAGCTCATTTTACTGTAGTCTGAGTTGGTCATACAAAAACATGGCCACAGAGAAAAAGACCAGGTTTTGCTGGGTCAGACTTGTAGGTGAAAGATCCACATCGAATTTTCTCCACCTGGGCTTGACCTTTATATTGACCTTAAAAAAAGAGCCCATCCAACGAGAGAGTGCGCCTCTCGCACTGAGAAGCTCTGGCAACACTCCAGTGAACCGGTTGAAAAGACCGACTAATCCGGGAGTGTTGGTGAAAGACTAATCCGCGAAGTTCTGAAAATGTTTCTCCATTCCCTGAAATCTAAAGCCACTCTTGAACCCTTGGGGAACACACATAGAGTTGTCCTGGGGCCAGTCCGTGAATGGCCAAAAAATCCGTTGTCGTCCTGCTGAATTATAGTCAAAGACGTATACTTAGAACATCAATATTTTTCCAAAATCGTTTTGCAGCTACACTTAGTACATTGGCACTAGTCATCACTTAGAACATCTGGACTCAAGACTTAGAACATGTGGACTCAAGACTTGGATGCAAGGCTTAGAACATAGATGCGAGACACAGACACACACACACCTGTATATAAACTGATAATAATATATATATATATATCAAAGGCCCATTTCACTCTCCAGGCTTCTTTTCTCATCACGTCTCCCTTCTTTGCCCTTGTTTGTTCTTCCAGATGCCTTTCTGTCAAGCATCTCTATATGCTGATTAAATTCACCACGCAGAGAAAT